CTGGCAAAAGACGGGGAAAACAAAACGATAGAAACTACTGAGTTACATATAATCCTGTCAATCATGAACAAAAGCTTGCGTTATCAAACAATACGTATATAAGCGCTCCAAACTATCATCTCAAAAAGACATTAAAAAACGTTACAAAGGTGCTATCAACTCAAAAAAGCGTCAGAAGTATTCCGGAAACAACACATAAACAAAAACAACTCTTAAAACGTCGGTATCTCTGTACTCGACAAATCTCAAAACTCTTAAAAAAAACACGTGGGGGCATCACTCCTCCCATCATATTCCGTACTCATAAACTCATTAAAACTCCATAAAAATTCACAAAACTCAAAACACTGTGTTGCAAATACTTGTCCACTGAGGCGCGCTTAAATCGTTATAAAGGACCTCGCACGTCACCAAATATCAGTTCAAAACAAAGATCTAGGCGCTTACACATATACAATTCAACATCACAAAAAAAAAACACGGTAAAAACAATAGAAAAAACCAGCAATACATTACATTACTGAGCAATAGGGTTAGGATTGTGAAGAGTTCAACGTCCTTGAGTTACACAGTGTCCGTTACAGTGTCCAATGAGCGGTTCTCTAAGCAATACACAGATAGCTAAAGTCAAAGTCTATAAGCGTCTCTTCTCTTGTCGCGTTATTCTGGGTCGTTCTTTCATCTTCTTCTTGTCTTTAATGTCTATCAATTCTTAATTATACAGTCCTATCCGGTACTCGTCCTTCATAAGGGGTTCAGAAGTCTTCATCTCTTCAGCGTTGTACATCGGTGTCGTTCGGGTAAAGCCGTTAGTCGTCAAGCGCAGTTTCGTCTCTGCCATGGAGCCAGTTAGTTCGGTTCACAAGAAAGACACATCTTCGCCATTTCACTTTTCTTCACAGGATCCAATGTGCGTAAGACGCAATGCCCAGGGTTCTCACACCACGTATCAGGGGTTAAATCTTCTTTCTCTCGGGGTCTCCACACTGTCAGGGGGGAATCTCGTCTCTGTCTCTGTCTCTATATCTCGTCCCCTTGAGGTACGGGATCGGGAAAGTCACTTTAATTTTACAGTCAAATAAGACACACACAACGAGACACGTTTCAGCTCTCGTCTTAGTCGGTCAATCGAGCACTCTATAAGACACAGCGCCCTGGGGAAAAGTCCCCAAGACTCTCACAAGGCTGAACCAAGACTCGCCCAAGACTGGACTACGTCAAGGCTCGCCCCTGGACTCTCTCTCAGACTGGACTCGACTCTCCAGGACTGCCCTCTCTCTACTCTCAGACTGCGTCTATCGTAGAGTACTCTTTAAGACCAACTCAAACTCTCTTTATTCATTTTCACAACTCTAACCAATTACAAAGCAGTAAAAAGACTCTAGGGCGTAACCTTCAATCATAAAGCCAATCACACTAAGCACTGAATACGTCATATCTTTTGATTAATCGTTCACTACATTAATAACTATGGAATACCAACTGTCAGAATCGCGACGGATATCTCGTAATTAGTTCCAAATCACTGAGCCAAGTTCCGTCCAAAACTTCAAATAGACCTGAACGATGACAGACATAACACAGCAATT